AAAAGGCTTCCGTAAGATCCAGAGGTTGGAGGTACAGGGAATATATTTGTTGGTAAAAGTACTTATGTTGCTGTCGTCATGTTGTCATGGCTAGCAAACAATGTCCACAAAGTAAATGTTTAAATAGATGATGTAATATAAAATCAGTATGACAGTTTATGTTTTACCTTCTGAAACAGATGAAGACATAACATGGAGATAGCATGAAATTGGTAAATTCCTCCTCGAACGTTACCCAGATTTAGCAATCGCAGAGAGCGAGTAAATAAGTCAGGTTTACCGCCGCTTTTAACATTGTACCTCATGTCATGTCATGTCACGACTTATCAACTTTATTGTGAGAGGAAATCGTCGTCGTGTACAGTGCGGACAAACCAGGGCCCCGTTCCTCAAAGCGATCTTAGCGCTAAGGTGATCGTAAGTCCTATACTTTAACATAGGCTTACGATCATCCTAGTGCTAAGATTGCTTTGAGGAACACGCCCCAGGGCACATAAACGAGAGGATTAGGCAGCCAAGGGACGCAACTCTGCAAAGCAAATTGCTGCGTCTTAGACCATGTGTCAAAGAAAGAGGTAAACAAAATATAAACATGAGTAAAGAACAAATATTGGAGGTAGAATATATATTCATGAGTGAATTGAATATGGGGACCAATGAAGGCGACCCTCGTATAACAGTAGATTGAGATAAGTGCATGTCTGTCGAGATGGCCCTATGTCGACATAACCCTACCTTGAACTATAGACGTATTGATATAACTCAAGTCGACCATGATTCAAACCAACGCAAATACATTGAAACACAATACATATGGATTTTCAATAAAATAGACTAATCACAGACATTCGTCTGACGTAAGTTGCATTCTTCAAACGGGGAGGTTGAAAGTTGTTCGTTATCATTATTTAAATCTGCAGGGACACATCGAAAACCTATTCCTATTGTTACATGTTGCTGTATTTAACGATTGCCTACATTTACTTCACGTGCGGATGCTTCTTGTATGTATACATGTGTGCAACTGCATTTAAAAAAAAAACCCGTCAATAATGTACGTGTTCTGAACCATTTGTGACGTCAAATCAATGGCGACGCTGCGACGTGGAACAGTGTAATTCTTGTTCGCCCTGCATCAGTACCAGACCGTGACACTTATGTGGGCTGCTTGCAACTATTGTTCATCCTTTTAATGCCAGGAATCGGTTCATTATCACCGCTTACAAAAGTCATTATTGACTTGATTATTGATTCAGTTCGTGTATCATCAAAGCGTTTGAGTTCGATTGAAACAAATGTTGACTGACTAGGACAGATTGACTCTTATTATGGTCTGAGCAATGTACATTCATGCATCGCCCCTGTAACGTCCCTTTTAAAGTGTACATTAATATACTATGACTCGTATGGCCATGATCCCCCCTTATTGTACATTAGGAGGTTTCAAATCTTAAGAAATTATTTAGCTATCCAATATGGAACTATTGAATGCTTCCTTGCAACACTTCAAACTTGAAATGCGACTATGACAAAAGGATGGATAATTTTTTTCAGAGAGAACATATTCACCCTTGATAAACTGTAGCAATTATTCTGCCTGGCAATTATTCTAGCTGGCATAACATAGGTAATGCCTTTCGAATGCTGGGATAGATGAATGGTTTGATATGCAATTGTATTAGATGAGGTTAACGGGTAGTGATGATGCTTCTCGATGCAATCAGAGACCAAAGCGGTTTTTAATAGTAGTATTGATTAGATTGCATTTCTAACTGTGAAACTTGTATTGAAATAAAGCTGGTTGAGAATCTGAATATTGACAGAAACTTGATAACAACAACACTGTTATATCAACGTGAGTCGTGGCACATGGAGACGAGCTAACATTTATTGTGGAATAACAATAAAACCTAATCCAAAAAGCGCGTTTGTATCTGAAACGGAAAATATAAAAATAACGTTTATCATCACATCCGGCAATATGGTAATAAAAAGAATCGGTGATTAACATTCGCAGAAACATAGATATTGATAAATAGGTAAGTGAGTGAGTGAGTTGGCTTTACTCCGCGTTAGCAATATTCCAGCAATATCACGGCGGGGGACACCGGAAATGGGCTTCACACATGGTACCCGTGTGGGGAATCGAACCCGGGCCTTTAACGTGACAAACAAACGCTTTAACCACTAGGCTACCCCAACGCCCCGTAAAATATTACAAGTTACGTGTCACGACGTTAGAATATAACCTTATTTGTACGGCTAAGTAAACACTCGTGTAAGGAAAGAAACGAAACCAGGTCACTGGTCACATGTCGTGTTTAGAAAATGGGAAAACTAGGACTAATAATATAACACAAAGAGAAACAAATCCCGTCTGTATAGGTAAGTAATCGGGCACTACAAACTGTGACAAGGATATATTTGTGCGACTATTTTCAAGATGAGGTACATCGCCGAAAGCCTGCTTTTTTCCACTAATTAATGCGTTTTAAAAAGACCACGTGTTTCATTCGTGACAACTCGCGTCATTCTGCCGGGACCAGCCGTTGTATTGGTGGTTTCGGAAAGGGCCAAATTGTGCCGAAAGTCGTAGACTCTTTCTGTAATAAACCATTTTAAATAAGAACGAGTACGGCGACAATGCATGTCTTCCATTGCCAGATAGCACTTTTGTACACCCTAAAACGTCTACATGTTTGATTCCTTATAACGGAAATAAACCTGCAAGAAGACTCGTCCCCCTATCGATGAATGTTATGTGCGAAAATACGACAAACCAATCAGAATGCGCGTATGATTTCAAGTTCTTCGTCAAAGAATCCCTCAAGAAATAAGTTTTGATTTACATATGTCTTGCATCCAAAAATAAACCCAAGACACAGTTAAATGTGTTCAATCATACTGTATAATTCCGCACGTCACGATGTGCTTTAAATTACATCTGAAATATATATATAATATATGGGGAAATATATGTGAACCATTACGCAACGAGTTGACAATTGTTTTAAGTATGCCCGTTTGCGCTAAGACGGAACCCGGTCGCAATAATGGCCATGAGAGGGACACGAGTCGCTATTCGGCTTGTCCCGGAAAAACACGAGTTGATCACGAAAGGATCTACCAAAACTACAAGATAGGCCATTATTTAAGGCGGTAATACATGTAGATTTTTCTTACTTTACTGTACACTGACATATTTCATACGAAATGCATTTCCCATAAGATCGCAATTATTTTATACGCGTACAAGTATTAAAATACATTCTATATACATATTTGATAACGGGAGAAGTTGCCCCGTAGATACCATTCCAGGGGTTGTCATCAGCTGGCCGTGATCATAATTACTGCTGGAACTAAGTATATACACAGTACAAATTAACACCACATATCTTTTAATAGATAGTTGACAATTCTCACATGTAAAGCACACTTACCGTACATATATGACTTGTATTTATAATTATGTACACAGAGGACTGGCTATATGAAGGCACGTCATGATAATCACATGTTGTACAGTTCTGGCCACTGTTGAATGCGCATGCGCTTGAGCCCAAACATTTTTCAATCCGGGACAAGTACTCGTAGACCGACATCCTAATATCACACCACAGTGTGAAAACTCCCAAGTTGATATAAGCACTGGAAATAGTATCCCCGATTATCCAGTGCATTATATCTCCTACACTGGATAGTCGAGGATGCAGTACGTATGTCTTTATCAGGAACCATTATAGCCTATAGAAGTTGTAGCGAGTGAGTTTTTTTACCACCTCGATTCGGAAATTTCAATGTGTTCTAACCACCATTTTGGGTCGAGAAGTACGCTTAGAGGTGACAGGGTGAATAAAATATTTCGCAAAAATTTATTGGCATTTCTTCATCTCAATTCGGAACTGGTCGTCTTAGTTCGTTTTCAAGACACAGAAATCAGAGATTGTGGTCTGAGTGCTTAGATCACTCGTTCCGAGAATTTAGAAGCCTCGATACTGATTGGCTGATTAGAGAGGTCACCTGACGCGACCTCAAAAGGAGGTGTCCTTGGATCGTGACGCAGAGCGGTATTGGACGAACATTCGATATGTAATATTTGTTACATATTTATCCTTTGTAGCAAGTGCGGAAAAGGTGAACTGGTATTACCAAAGGAATTGAATGTATCTGTGATGTCACACCATTCCCAATAGGTGACGTCATAGCATGTATTTACTTCTTGGTGAAAGGTAATGGCGAATTTCAAGATAAAATGCGTATACCATATACTAGGCGTTTATCTAGCATATACGTTATGAGTGGCACAATAAATATACTTGGTAATAGTGTTAGAAAAAGATGTCCGGATTAAAAAATATGTTTTCATATAAAAAGAGAGATCTTGACTGGCCTCTTATTGATATTCCTCGTGATATATACGAGTACAACACGCCGATCGCATGTGTTATGTATGTACATATATGTATGTATATATGTATGTTGGTTGGTTTGTTGTTTAACGCCGCACTCAGCAATATTCCAGCTATTATTCGACAAAATAATAGACGTCTGTAAATAATCGAGTGATTAATCCAGTGATTAATATCATGAGCATCGATCCAAACAATTGATATCGATGACATGCATCAACCAATTATGTATGTATGTATGTATGTATGTATGTATGTATGTATGTATGTATGTATGTGGGTGGAGTTGGGGGTGGGGATGTGTGGGTGTGTTTGTGTGTGTGTTTGTGTGTGTGTGTGTGTGTGTGTGTGGGGGGGGTGATTGGGTGTGTGGTGGGGTGGTAGGTATCGGTGTGTGTGTGTGTGTGTGTGTGGGGGGGGGGTGATTGTGTGTGTGGTGGGGTGGTATGTATCGGTGTGTGGGTGTGTGTGTGTGTGTGTGGGGGGGGTGATTGGGTGTGTGGTGGATGGTAGGTATCGGTGTGTGGGTGTGTTTGTGTGTGGGTGTGTGTGTGTGTGTGTGTGTGTGTGGGGGGGGGGGGGGGGGTGATTGGGTGTGTGGTGGGGTGGTAGGTATCGGTGTGTGGGTGTGTTTGTGTGTGGTGTATGCATGTGAATGTATGTATCATTTGATGGGTACTCTCTCAACTGTAGGCGTTGAACGTCAGAGATACAAATCACAGTGCAACGTCACATACATACATTCGTACTGGAATAATAAACTTCAGGATCGTTTTCATCACCAACACACCTATATATGTATATGTATTATATATGTGTGTGTTTTCGATGGACTTCATCTGCAAACTTCGGACTCTTTGTATTTGATTGCAAAAATATTACACTATCTGTACATCAAAGGTGTTGACACTTTCCATGATAACCAGTTCTCACCAATAACCCCACACAACACAACAACAACGTATATCGTGCTGTTTTGAGTACGGGTCGTCGTTAACAACATACTACCACATGTGGCCGACTTAATTAATTTCTTAATGAATATACAGCTTCACGCCTTGCCAAGGAACGAGCTGACATTAGACTTCAGGAGATGCAGGTGCGTCATGATTGAGAGAGCATCAGCCAGGAGGAACGCCACTCCAATGCCACTCAACAGGAGGCAGGCCACGTAGCCACCGGCTGAGGCCGAGGGACGTTCATCGCTAGCGCTTTCCTTCTTCCGGATGGTAGCCGAGAGGTTCCTGGGGTCCAGGTGCAACTCCTCGGATACCTGTTCCGCTCTCTCCACCGCCGCCTCCAACGGCGTCTGATTGGGCTTCAGCGGAGGCGCTTTGCAGCGGCATGTACACGCCTCGTAGATCAAACGACCGTCTGGGCTGTAGAATGCCACTGGGCCAGGGGTTGAAGCGCTTCCGCCAGTACCAGCGCCAGGTGTTGTCGTTGGCGCTACACCCCCAGAACCAACGGTAGCGCTGGCTGTGGCTCCTGCCGTTGCACCTGCCGTTGCACCTGCTGTCATACCTGCAGTCGCACCTGCCGTCGCACCTGCTGTTGCACCTGCCGTCGCACCTGCTGTTGCTCCCATCGTTGCACCCACTGTCCCACCGGCCGCTGTTCCACCAGCTGTGCTTCCACCCCCAGCTGTTGCGCCCACTGTCCCACCGGCCGCTGTTCCACCAGCTGTGCTTCCACCCCCAACTGTTGCGCCCACGGTTGCTGTGGGGTTGATGGTCGTCTGACCGGCGTTGTCGCCGGTCGTTACAGGGATGTCTGGCGTACTTGACGACATCTCCATTGTGGTGGACATCATGAGGCTTGTATCTATAGTTGACGAGTCGATGCTCGTCATTGACATCTCGACAGACGAAGACATGTCAATGCTGGATGATTCTATCATCGATGACTCAGTCGAGGACAATATGGAGGACGAGATCTCTGAAAAGAACGATAGTGTTAATGAAACGAAAAATACAAAATGTGGCCTCAGCAATATCCTAGTTGTTGCCTGTAGAAGAAAAAGTAGATCCACGTTTACTTATGATTTGTTTGTTTGTTTGTTGTTTAACGCCGCACTCAGCAATATTCCAGCTATATGACGGCGGTCTGTACATAATCGACTCTGGACCAGACAATCCAGTGATTAATAATCATGATCATCGATCCAAGCAATTGGGGTCGATGACATGCATCAACCAAGTCAGCGAGCCTAACCACCCGACATCAACCAAGTCAGCGAGTCTGACCACCCGATCCCGTTAGTCGCCTCTTACGACAAGCATGGGTTGCTGAAGACCTACTCTACCCCGGATCTTCACGGGTTGTATGAATAACGAGCCATGTTGTGAGAGTACGCTAACTAGAAGTCGCCAGATGAGAGAACCTGACCACCCAATCCTCATTTTTACCTCCATGACTCGGATACACCATCACACAATGGATATGAGTAAGGGACGTACCATTTGATGTTTTAAAAAAATATATTTTGCCCGAAAATTGCGTGCTGCAAAAACTTCATTGTTGCAATGAATGTTTCTGGTTTTGTAGCTGTAGCAGAACAATATCTTATCTCGATACAAAATCTCAGCCCCCCTAGATTACCAAATGATCGGTTCCTGATTGTATACATCCCTTCATTTCACGACACTGGATGTCGACTGTATTTCCAGTTCGAGTGTGTGGGATTTACTTGTGCCAGGAACAGTACTTCATTTTCACAATCAGCTGAGTGAGTGAGTGACACAACCGTTCACACCCTTACAAAGGGAGATAACCCTCACCTTACACAGTGGGAGAACCCACCACGCTCTCACACAGTGAGAGAACCCATCACACTGTCTCACAGTCAGATAACACCCTTCACACCCTCACACAGTGAGAACCCATCGCACTGTCTCACAGTGAGAGAACCCATCACACTGTCTCACAGTCAGATAACACCCTTCACACCCTCACACAGTGAGAACCCATCGCACTGTCTCACAGTGAGAGAACCCATCACACTGTCTCACAGTCAGATAACACCCTTCACACCCTCACACTGAGGGAGAACCAATCAAAACCTCACACTGAGGGAGAATCCTTCACACTGTCTCACAGCGAGACAACCGATCACCACCTCACACACAGTGAGAACCAATTACACCCTCACACAGTGAGAGAACCGATCACACCCTCACACAGTGAGAACCCATCACACTGTCTCACAGCGAGACAACCGATCACCACCTCACACACAGTGAGAACCAATCACACCCTCATACAGTGAGAGAACCGATCACACCCTCACACAGTGAGAGAACTCATCACACCATCACACACAGAGAGAGAAACCATCACACTGTCACACAGAGAGAACCCATCACACCCCCACTCAGGGAAAACCCATCACATTGTCTCACAGTGAGAGAACCGATCAAACCCTCACTCAGTGAGAGAACCCATCACACTGTCTCACAGTGAGAGAACCCATCACACCCTCACACAGTGAGAGGACCCATCATACTGTCTCACAGTGAGAGGACCCATCACATCTTAACACAGTGAGAGGACCCATCACACTGTCTCATGGTGAGAGAACCCGTCACACTGTCTCACAGTGAGAGAACAAATCACAGCCTCACACAGTGAGAGAACCCATCACACCCTCACACAGTGAGAGAACCCATCACACCCTCACACAGTGAGAGAATCCATCACACCCTCACACAGTGAGAGAACCCATCACACTGTCTCACAGTGAGAGAACCCATCACATCCTTACACAGTGAGAGGACCCATCACATCCTTACACAGTGAGAGGACCCATCACACTGTCTCACAGTGAGAGAACCCGTCACACTGTCTCATAGTGAGAGAACCCATCACACCCTCACACAGTGAGAGAACCCATCACACTGTCTCACAGTGCGAGAACCCATCACACCCTCACACAGTGAGAGAACCCATCACACTGTCTCACAGTGCGAGAACCCATCACATCCTCACACAGTGAGAGAACCCACACAATTAGTGACTAGTTGTGGGACGATGTAATATAATGGTTTATATGTGCCTACCTGGAATGGTCCACGTGCCTCTGATGACGAACATGCCTCCAACACTCACCACCTCACCTGCAACAATTCACATATCATGGTTATGACAAAGAGACGTCAAGTTCCTATCAGCAAGAGCCCGCTTGTCGGCCTCTCCAGACTATAGCTGCCACCAACCACAGCTCCCCACTGTGCCAGGCGGCATACATCCCTGCATGGAGTTGAACTCAGTTGATGACCACCGTCATAACTCCCACGTTTACAAACAATGTAGAGACCGTCGTAATGACGAGAACACTCCACTGCCCAGCCCATCCCCCAACCCCCTACCCCCACCCCAAATAGTTTTCTTTGTTTGTCAATTTAAAAGTGACAAGGGGGTGTACGTGCTTTGTCGTTAATCTTCAATCTGGAACCAATCTATGATTACTATGATTGTATTCCCAAACACATACACGCAAACCTATACAAATACGTAACTACAAGTGGGATTAACGGGAAAGTTTCAAGGCGCTTGTAACACCCGCTTCAGTACCTCGTAACAATAGTAGTGGCAACCCCAGTACCTCGTAACAATAGTAGTAGCAGCCCCAGTACCTCGTAACAATAGTAGTAGCAGCCCCAGTACCTCGTAACAATAGTAGTAGCAGCCCCAGCATCTCGTAACAATAGAAGTGGCAGCCCCAGTACCTCGTAACAATAGTAGTGGCAACCCCAGTACCTCGTAACAATAGTAGTAGCAGCCCCAGTACCTCGTAACAATAGTAGTAGCAGCCCCAGCATCTCGTAACAATAGAAGTGGCAGCCCCAGTACCTCGTAACAATAGAAGTGGCAGCCCCAGTACCTCGTAACAATAGTAGTGGCAACCCCAGTACCTCGTAACAATAGTAGTGGCGACCCCAGTACCCCGTTAAAATAGTTGTAGCAGCCCTAGTACCTCGTAACAATAGTAGTGGCAGACCAAGTATCTCGTAACAATAGAAGTGGCAGCCCCAGTACCTCGTAACAATAGTAGTGGCAACCCCAGTACCTCGTAACAATAGTAGTAGCAGCCCAAGTACCTCGTAACAATAGTAGTAGCAGCCCCAGCATCTCGTAACAATAGAAGTGGCACCCCTAGTACCTCGTAACAATAGTAGTGGCAACCCCAGTACCTCGTAACAATAGTAGTGGCGACCCCAGTACCCCGTTAAAATAGTTGTAGCAGCCCTAGTACCTCGTAACAATAGTAGTGGCAGACCAAGTATCTCGTAACAATAGAAGTGGCAACCCCAGTACCTCGTAACAATAGTAGTGGCGACCCCAGTACCTCGTTAAAATAGTTGTAGCAGCCCTAGTACCTCGTAACAATAGTAGTGGCAGACCAAGTATCTCGTAACAATAGTAGTGGCAGCCTCAGCACCTCGTAGCAATAATAGTTGCAACCCCAGTGGTAGTGGTCGCCGTACTGGTCGTCGTAGTTGTGGTAGCAGTATAGATAGTAGTAGAATAAGAAGGAGTGAGTATGGTTTAGCAATATTCCAGCAATATCACGGCGGGGGACAGCAGAAATGGGCTTCCTACATTGTACCCATGTGGGGAATCGAACCCGGGTCTTCGGCGTGACGAGCGAACGCTTTAACAACTAGGCTACCCCACCGCCGCTGATAGAATAAGAAGTAGTAGAGGTAGTAGTAGTGATAGCAGCAGCAGTAGTAGTAGTGGTATTAGTAGTAGTAGCAGTAGTAGTAGTGGTGGTCGTATTAGTATTATTATTATTATTATTAGTAGTAGTAGTAGTAGTTATTTAACTGTAGTAGTAGCAGTAGTAGTAGTAGTGGTGGTCATAGTAGTAGTAGTAGTAGTAGTGGTGGTGGTGGTGGTAGTAGTAGTAGTAGTAGTAGTAGTGGTGGTCATAGTAGTAGTAGTAGTAGTAGTAGTAGTGGTGGTGGTGGTAGTAGTAGTAGTAGTGGTCGTAGTAGTAGTAGTAGCAGCAGCAGCAGCGGTAGAGGTAGAGGGAGTGGTACAAGAAGTATCAGACATGGTAGTTGTAACGTACCAGACGGCCCTAGTATGGAGATAGTTGCGCGGGGGAAGGTGTAGTTGTTGTCCCCGGGCTCCAATAGCACACAGCCGCTCTTGACGGCGCCGAACGTCTCCACCTGCCCCGTCCCGTCCAGCACCTGTAGGCGGACAACCAGTCAGAGAGTTGGTAAATGCGTGTCACATACACTTATATACATGCAACAAACATGCAACATTCTCTCACATACTCTCACATAGATGCAACATTCTCTCACATACATGCAACATTCTCTCACATACTCTCATATACATGCAACATTCTCTCACATACATGCAACATTCTCTCACATACATGCAACATTCTCTCACATACATGTAACATTCTCTCACATACATGCAACATTTTCTCACACACTCTCACATACATGCAACATTCTCTCACATACTCTCACATACATGCAACATTCTCTCACATACATGTAACATTCTCTCACACACTCTCACATACATGCAACATTCTCTCACATACTCTCACATACATGCAACATTCTCTCACATACATGTAACATTCTCTCACATACATGTAACATTCTCTCACATACATGCAACATTCTCTCACATACATGTAACATTCTCTCACATACATGCAACATTCTCTCACATACATGTAACATTCTCTCACATACATGCAACATTCTCTCACATACATGCAACATTCTCTCACATACATGTAACATTCTCTCACATACTCTCACATACATGCAACATTCGCTCACATACTCTCACATACATGCAACATTCTCTCACATACATGTAACATTCTCTCACATACATGTAACATTCTCTCACATACATGCAACATTCTCTCACATACTCTCACATACATGCAACATTCTCTCACACACATGTAACATTCTCTCACATACATGCAACATTCTCTCACATACATGCAACATTCTCTCACATACATGTAACATTCTCTCACATACATGCAACATTCTCTCACATACATGTAACATTCTCTCACATACATGCAACATTCTCTCACATACATGCAACATTCTCTCACATACATGTAACATTCTCTCACATACATGTAACATTCTCTCACATACTCTCACATACATGCAACATTCTCTCACATACATGTAACATTCTCTCACATACATGCAACATATTCTCACATACTCTTACATACATGCAACATTCTCTCACATACATGCAACATTCTCTCACATACATGCAACATATTATCACATACTCTCACATACATGCAACATTCTCTCACATACATGTAACATATTCTCACATACTATCACATACATGCAACATTCTCTCACATACATGCAACATTCTCTCACATACATGTAACATTCTCTCACATACATGCAACATATTCTCACATACTCTTACATACATGCAACATTCTCTCACAAACATGCAACATTCTCTCACATACATGCAATATACTCTCACATACATTTAACATTCTCTCACAAACATACAACATTCTCTCACATACTCTCATATTGTGTCAAAGAGAAAATCACATCTCACAAGTTTCGCCAACTTATCACTTATGGGCAATGACAACAACCGGGCATAACACAATAACATATGTGAGGAGTCAGTATTTGGAAATCGAGAAGCGTCCTGGACAATTGTAGCTGGGCAATAAAGTTGTGATTCTGACAATGGGAGAATGATAGAGAAGCGTCCTGGACAATTATAGCTGGGCAATAAAGTTGTGATTCTGACAATGGGAGAATGATAGAGAAGCGTCCTGGACAATTATAGCTGGGCAATAAAGTTGTGATTCTGACAATGGGAGAATGATAGAGAAGCGTCCTGGACAATTATAGCTGGGCAATAAAGTTGTGATTCTGACAATGGGAGAATGATAGAGAAGCGTCCTGGACAATTATAGCTGGGCAATAAAGTTGTGATTCTGACAATGGGAGAATGATAGAGAAGCGTCCTGGACAATTATAGCTGGGCAATAAAGTTGTGATTCTGACAATGGGAGAATGATAGAGAAGCGTCCTGGACAATTATAGCTGGGCAATAAAGTTGTGATTCTGACAATGGGAGAATGATAGAGAAGCGTCCTGGACAATTATAGCTGGGCAATAAAGTTGTGATTCTAACAATGGGAGAATGATAGAGAAGTGTCCTGGACAAACATAGCTGGGCAATAAAGTTGTGATTCTGACAATGGGAGAATGATAGAGAAGCGTCCTGGACAATTATAGCTGGGCAATAAAGTTGTGATTCTGACAATGGGAGAATGATAGAGAAGCGTCCTGGACAAACATAGCTGGGCAATAAAGTTGTGATTCTGACAATGGGAGAATGATAGAGAAGCGTCCTGGACAATCATAGCTGGGCAATAAAGTTGTGATTCTGACAATGGGAGAATGATAGAGAAGCGTCCTGGACAATCATAGCTGGGCAATAAAGTTGTGATTCTGACAATGGGAGAATGATAGAGAAGCGTCCTGGACAATCATAGCTGGGCAATAAAGTTGTGATTCTGACAATGGGAGAATGATAGAGAAGCGTCCTGGACAATCATAGCTGGGCAATAAAGTTGTGATTCTGACAATGGGAGAATGATAGAGAAGCGTCCTGGACAATCATAGCTGGGCAATAAAGTTGTGATTCTGACAATGGGAGAATGATAGAGAAGCGTCCTGGACAATCATAGCTGGGCAATAAAGTTGTGATTCTGACAATGGGAGAATGATAGAGAAGCGTCCTGGACAATCATAGCTGGGCAATAAAGTTGTGATTCTGACAATGGGAGAATGATAGAGAAGCGTCCTGGACAATCATAGCTGGGCAATAAAGTTGTGATTCTGACAATGGGAGAATGATAGAGAAGCGTCCTGGACAATCATAGCTGGGCAATAAAGTTGTGATTCTGACAATGGGAGAATGATAGAGAAGCGTCCTGGACAATCATAGCTGGGCAATAAAGTTGTGATTCTGACAATGGGAGAATGATAGAGAAGCGTCCTGGACAATCATAGCTGGGCAATAAAGTTGTGATTCTGACAATGGGAGAATGATAGAGAAGCGTCCTGGACAATCATAGCTGGGCAATAAAGTTGTGATTCTGACAATGGGAGAATGATAGAGAAGAGTGTTGGACAATGGGAGACATTATTTGAGCAGAGGCTCATAAAAACAGTTTAGGGCATTTGGGGCCATTTTGGGAAAATATTCCGGCATTTAGTAGCAAAGGTTTAGTGCCAATGGGAACAGTATTTGGTGTTTTATGTATATGATGACGGTTTGGGGACAGGGGGGCAACGTTTTGACGTTTGTAAAGACTGTTTGTTGATACTGGTGCTAAACACTTCACCTTACACCCAGATAAAACTACTCTTAACTATCACCCCCAGCTCTGCTACCGTTAGTATTTGTCTATGAAGACAGTATGGGGTTAGCGGGCCAGTACCTGGTTATAAAGACAGGTAGGGGACAATGATATTGGACAGTACTGGGCTGTGCGACAGTGGGTGTTGCCAGAGAGACAATTGCTCTGGTACGCGTGCGGGGTGGGGCAACTCACGGCATGGAGTGACCCAGGGGTCGTGGAGCAAGAACCGGAGACCATGAGGTTGTACGTGGGCGGCTGCACGTCAAAGTACAAATTGGTCAGCTGACATTCTTCCTCCTCAACAACCTTCGCACCGCTCACATAATCCGTGGTCGGGAACTGCAACATCATCGACAACAGTTTCACAACGAGGAGAAGGACAATATATCTTTACTCATCAAAGTGATCTTTCGCCTGTAGCCTGGTGTTATTTACCAATTTTGGTCATTCAAACTGTATCCGTAAAGGATATTATTTAATGCTAATGTAGCCAGTAATATTTATGGTTCAAGTTGATTGAACATTGGTGTCTTGAAGGTTAGATTATTATGTGCCAAGTCATGACAGTTAACTATTCTCGAACTATCCACGTGGGCGCAATAGCATAGTTAATTGTTACGATGTACATAATTACACCGAATGGGAGACACATAAATACTGGCCTGATAAACAACATTAAGTTTTTGTAGGCATTTGGAAGTGGGGAGAACATGAATTCATGACACTTCCTTATGGACAGCAATTTCGTTCAGTCTTTGCACGACGTTTCAGAGCTACTTCTTGCTCCTTAATCAGTTGAATGCCTAGTTAGTGCAAAGAGTACTTTTTAAAAACGTCGTGACAAAGAATAAAAGTTGCTATCCATAAAAAGTGTCATGTATTCATGACATACAACATTTTGTTGTTGTTGGCAGTATTGAGAATAAAGGCAATAAATTTAAAAGGTTAAAAGGTCTTCCTATCGTTAAGTCTAATAGGACATAACATACATGTATTTATATTCACAAGTTTGGCCAAGTAACAGCAATAAATATACATGTACTTAGCATCTATGAAAGTTACAACAAGGACATTTCAATAGAAAATAATACCTCAAAACTACCTGTAGCCTTTAGAAGTATGTGGCAACAAATATGGCTCTCCAGCACCCCACGTGCCTTTCATGTATACAATACAGGGACAACACCCTTTCCATATCCATAAGAAATGTCGGATCAAAGCGAAGAGTCGATTGTACAATTCCGATTATTTCATGAGCATGTGTTTATGAATCACTATCAAATAGTAAATGTACCAGATGTTCGCGAAAAGGTAAGCTTATCCTGTCTCACCCGTGACACCCGTTACAAACACATGCAAAGGCAGGTCAATGTTAACCCGAAAAAACACGGGAACATATGATACAAGTCAAAATAGGGAATTGCAACGGACATCATTGTTGTTACTAATTGAAATGTCTTCCACATGTTTACATACATACAATATTTGGAAAGCTTCATTAAGGCATCGAATGTTGTAACAGTAAAATGTTCTCAACAGTACCAAAGTGAGTGAGTAAGTTGGATTAAACGCCGCTCAGTATCCCAGTTATATCACGGCGTGTCAGCTTAATGTGGTAGGAAAGCCCCAAGTGATGCAGGTCTCAGACGTTTAACCACTTCGGTGAAATCCACGAGCACGGGTATGGTGCTGACAAACCTAGAAACGTAATCGGGGCGAACCGGGATTCGAACCCACAACCATAGGTTTCTGGCGTGCCCAAGGGACGCAACTCTGCACAGCGAATCGCGGTGCAATAGACGACTGGGCGACCAGTGCCCCCTACAGTACCCAAGGAATGGGTCATATTAACATGGCTTATGAGAAAGTGATAAACCGATTTCAGCTAAAATGCGTTCTAATTGTAAAATATAAGTTCAATGATAAATAACAATTATCTGAAAGTCTCCTCACCGTCTTTAGACTTGTGCTGTTAATGGTGACGGTGCCTAGTTCGGTCGTTGCGTTTAAACCCTGATAAAAGTTGACGTATTCTGCAAATGCTGAAACAGTGAAACACGCGCATATCAAATATAAGCCAATGTGTTGTATCAATACAATACAACACTCTTGTATCAATACAATACAACACACTGTGAAGGAAGTGTATACAACCCAGTATGTGGTCGTTTCTGGCTCTACGAGGTTCCCGTTATATTCGGGGCCATACATGGAATGCGCCTTGTATACCAAGGACCGAGTAAACATTATAGAATATTCCGTCTGTCAAAAACGTAGTTAAACCAAACCCACACACCCCCACTAACTGTCTTTACTCATTTTGATTGGTTTGTTTGTTTATTAAAACCGTGTGCTACCCGTTGTAAGTAACAGAAGATCTATATCGTTCCTGTTGTGTCACACGAAATGGGGCGGTCGGGTAGCCTAGTGGTTAAAGCGTTCGCTCGTCACGCCGAAGACACGGGTTCGATTCCCGACATGGGTACAATGTGTGAAGCCCATTTCTGGTGTCCCCCGCCGTGATATTGCTGGAATATTGCTAAAAGCGGCGTAAAACCATACTCACTCGCTCACTCACACGAAATGTCTGTAGCAAATAGCAAGGGAGAGACGCGTCCCTCAAATCTATATGTATCTATATATAGCGAACCTCCACATTAACACTCGTGAAAGTCCTGATTAAAAAAATCCCGATCACTGCAATTTCTGAGTAATGTCCCTTTGATACACGGAACTCCATACGGGGGGATTAACGATTCTCGGATTAACGTGTTTTTTTACAGTGAGATGTTATAAAAGTCCTCATTATCGCAATTTCTGGGTAATGTACCTTTAACCTTTGATATATGACATTCAATACAGAACTGTTTAACACGTCCCATTCTAATTCTGGAAGCCCATTTGTCCAGAAACTCTCTATGTTGTGGCCAGTCTCTGTCAGAGGTATTTACAAAATTGAACATGCTGTTATCATGGGTACAAAAAAGGAAGATAAAATGTAAAAAAATATTGGGGAAAACTCAAAATTTAAACTATGTGAGCGAAGATTGGCCCATGGGCGAGCATATATTCCTTTGCTTAAAACACCTGATTTTTCTTTGGCAAATACATAAATGTTTGTCCACAAGCATCGTGACACATGATTCAACTCATTTTGATTTAATTCAACTAAGTTGTGGCGTTATTAAAATATTTTTTACATGGGCGAAAAGGTTTGGCCCATGGGCAGGCCATACAAAACTGTAAATTTACAGTTTCCGGAAGACCATATCCGGATTGACGATATCGGGATTAATGATATCCGGATTAACGGGGTGTTTACAGTAGTAGTAGTAGTAGTAGTAGTAGTAGTAGTAGTAGTAGTAGTAGTAATAGTAGTAGTAGTAGTAGTAGTAGTAGTAGTAGTAGTAGTAGTAGTAGTAGTAGTTTACACATGAGTATAATGTGTGAAGCCCATTTCTGGCGTCCCCTGTCGTGATATTGCCGAAATATTGCTAAAAGCGGCTTAAAGCAAGTCACACTCACTTACTCACTCACTCACTCACTCACCCGCCCTGTCGAACACGCTGCTGGAGGTGGGGCCGCCGCAGAGCTGTTCGTTGTCCCCGGCACAAAGCATGGAGCAGTCCGAGTCTTGTGCCACGGTAAGGCCGGCAGGGACTCCGCCATTGTCAGCCACGCAGAAGCAGGACGTACCCTACAAGTGGCGACAAGGGGTATCAATTCGTTGTTATATTTACACAGCCATATGCGATTGAAGTGATGTTGTTGGACCCGCTCCTTTCAGATTGTCAAATACTTGTTTCATTGAATGTATCTTCAAAAAATGGCATTTCCAGTTTACATTTCAGTGAAGACAGAGTTGAGTGATGACTGATGGATTTCAATATGTTTATTCTTTCTAGGAGACGTTGCTAGTGCTAGTGCTAGAACCACATCTCAACAAAGGTGCGAGCACTTGTGCTGAAATGTCACATAAAAGCGGAATTCCATGTCAACTCTGTCTCCATGGATACATTTGTATTTTTGTTTGTGTGGTTTTTTTTAATGTTTAACGCAGCACTCAGCATTATTAAAGCTATATGACGGCGTCCTAAAACAATCGAGTCTGAACCAGACAATCCAATGATTGACATCATGATCATCTATCCACATAATTGGGATACGATGACATGCATCCACTACGCCAGCGAGCCTGACCATCCGATCCCCTTGTCACCACTTTCGACAAGCATGGGTTGCTGAAGACAAAATTTTCACCCGGATCTTCACGGGTCCTCCGTTGATACAAGTGAGAAAGGATCACGACCACGTCTTCGCGCTTCTTGGCGACCCTGCTCACTGTTTGCCTGTGCATTACGTGCGCACCGTAGTCTGATGAACCTGTACATCCACTGCTGGCCATATCAAGATCCGGGGTAGAATAGGTCTTCAGAAACCCATGCTTGCCATAAAAGGCGACTATGCTTGTCTTAAGAGGCAACTAACGGGATCGGGTGGTCAGGCTCGTTGACTTGGTTGATGCATGTCATCGATCCCACTTCCATGGATCGATGCTAATGATCAACTACTGGATTATTTGGTCCAGACTGGCCCGTTCCAAAGCTGGATTATTGATGAGTGTGGTGTCAAGCAATCAAAACAAACTACAGCTTGCCATATAAAATGATAAGGGTTTAGGGCATGAGTTAGTTTGTGCCCGTGCTTATTATAGCCATAGCACACTATGGCATACACTGTATTTACGCATAACTGTTAAAGGATTTTACAGATAGTGACGCATTTGGTTGGTGTGTTGAGACAGATAGAACTGTATACATTCAACCCTGTGTGGTCCATCTCTAAGCACATGCGTATACATGTATGAACAAGTAGGGGCGTAGCTTTGGTGTTCAGCAAGCATCTGTCAATACTCGGTGTAAGTAGCAACAATATCTCCACCCTTTAGTTTTATAACTGATTACACAACTCACTCACTCACTCACTCACTCACTCACTCACTCACTCACACTCACTCTGTTGCTGTGATATTGTTTAAGGCATCGAAAAAAAAATTCGGCAACACATATATGCCCCGTGTTAGAGACACAATACTGACCTGTATTGCGAAATATTCTGTCGTGCAAAATTCGTAGCATTTCCTGATGTTCATTTTTGTCTGGATATCGTCCGCTGTGCCCGAAGGTACTGAGTAGCAGCCGTTGTAACCTGCAACACGACAACACAAAGATTGCTGACTCAACACAAAAAAGTCCTGTTGAACATCAGGAAGGGATCCGGGTGATCTGTTGGATGAATGGTAAATCAGATCAAGGCTAGGCGAGGTGAAATGGGGTTTAACGTCGCGTTTAAGATTATTGCATTATATTGCGACGTGTATGCACGTGTGTGTGTGTGGTGGGGTGGGGGATGTGGGGGTGGGGTGTGGGGGTGGGGGTGGGGTGGGGGGGTGGGGGTGGGGTGGGGGGGGGGGGGGGGGGGTGCTAGTCCATTCAGCCGACCATTCAGTGTTTTAGCCCCTTAATGCCGTGCGCCAGGTATTGTTACAACACGAATAGTCGTTTAACGTCTTTTGGTACGACGCGGCTGGGAGCTGAACTTCGGGCCTTCCGCTCTCCATGAGGACGCTCTACCACTAGACAACAGAGGCGGTTACTTAACAACAAGAAGACCATCTGGATGTAGGGACATATGATCAAGAAGGAACACGGTGACCATCTGGATGTAAGGACATAAGATCAAGAAGGGACACGGTGACCATCTGGATGTACGGACATAGGAACAAGAAGGAACACGGTGACCAGCTGGATGTACGGACATAAGACCAAGAAGGAACAAGGTGACCAGCTGGATGTAAGGACATAATATCAAGAAGGGACACAGTGACCATCTGGATGTACGGACATAAGATCAAGAAGGAACACGGTGGCCATCTGGACGTACGGACATTAGATCAAGAAGGGACACAGTGACCATCTGGACGTACGGACATTAGATCAAGAAGGGACACGGTTTCCATCTGAATGTACGGACATAGGAATAAGAACGGACACGGTGACCATCTGGATGTACAGACACAGGAACAAGAAGGAACACTGTGATCATCTGGATGTATGGACATAGGAACAAGAAGGGACACCGTGACCAGCTGGATGTACGGACATAAGATCAAGAAGGAACACGGTGACCATCTGGGTATACGGACATAAGATCAAGAAGGGACACGGTGACCATCTAGGTGTATGGACATAAAATCAATAAGGGACACGGTGACCAGCTGGATGGACGGACATTAGATCAAGAAGGGACACGGTGACCATATGGATGTACAAACATAAGACCAAGAAGGGACACGGTGACCATCTGGATGTACGGGCATAAGATCAAGAAGGAACACGGTGACCATCTGGATGTATGGACCTAAAATCAAGAAGAGACACGGTGACCAGCTGGATGCACGGAAATAAGACCAAGAAGGGACATGGTGACCATATGGATGTACGGACATAAGAACAAGAAGGAACACGGTGACCAGTTGGATGTACGGACATAGGAACAAGTAGGGACACGGTGACCAGCTGGATGCTCGCTACATCTGCAGGCACTATTTGCGAGCGTTTTATTGCTCACACATTCATTTGTTGCAGCTGGAAACAAACAGTGTTACTGATTAACAAGTACTTAGTATGGACATACTTTTGACGAAGACCCAAAGTCTCACCTGGAACCGGCATGGCTTGTAGAGTTGCCCCCGTAGAGATGAGGATCTCCACCCCGTTGAGGGTGTCACTAAGGTAGTGGCGAGGATTAACGATGGCCACGAGCGTGTTGTCAGTGTTATTCGTGTGCAGGCGAAACCCGTCAAACCTAAAGCGGTATACAGAGTCATTGATTGGGAGAGATCAATCACTGAGAAACAAGACAGAGAAAGATACTACTCGATAGACCTGTTGCTACATATCCCATTGGCTTCCACCTATGTGTTCTCTGTCCATCATGTTGTGACAGTATTATCCTTCTGTTGTCAACACTTACTTATGTTATCCCACTTATATATGCAATTGTTGTTACTGTTAATCCTCCACCTAATATATATATTCTGTACAATATCCCTCATTTAGTCTTGCTTGACAATGGTAGAAGGAACTCTTTCTACAGTATTAAAGAGGTTGTTAGCCATAAAATTGTGTCAACCTTGTCATCCGTCAACTTCTAAGTAATGCCTGTCAAACAATTCAATGTTGTGCGTGGTCTAAATACTTCAGGTATATGTGATGGTGAAATGGGGTTTAACGCCGCGTTCAAGATTAGCGTACCTGTCTGTGCGGCTGCCTTTACTAAACAAGATCAATGCTGGTTTTATAGTGCTAGCCAACTGAGATACCATGCCGCAGTTTAATATGGATACCGCACTCATCAGGTTTATCATCCATAACACCTCTCTCTCTACACACAACACACGGTATTACTGCTGTGTGCTTTATGCAATTGAGGACACGGGTGGCCCAGTCGTCTGAGGCGCCGCGATTCGCTGTGCAGAGTTGCGTCCCTTGGGCACGCCAGAAACCTATGATTGTGGGTTCGAATCCCGGTTCGCCCAAATTATGTTTCTAGGTTTGTCACCACCATACCCGTGCTCGTGGGTTTCACCGAAGTGGTAAACGTCTGAGACCTGCATCACTTCAGGCTTTCCTCCCACATTAAGCTGACACGCCGCGATATAACTGGAATACTGTTAAAAGCGGCGTTAAACTCAACTCACTGCAAACTATAGGATGAAGTTTTCCAGACATAAACGTTCTTGCATAGGATGTTTGTCGTCAACTTTTATATTTTTTCTTATACTATTAACATCTATATATCATGTTTCCTCACATGAATGTGTCAGCTTAATGTGGGAGGAAAGCCCGAAGTGATGCAGGCCTCAGACGTTTACCACTTCGGTGAAACTCACGAGCCCGGGTATGGTGCTGACAAACCTAGAAACATAATTTGGGCGAACCGGGATTCGAACCCGCAATCATAGGTTTCTGGTGTGTCCAAGGGACGCAACTCTGCACAGCGAATCGCGGCGCCTTAGACGACTGGGCCACCCGTGTTCCCAACTGCATAAAGCACACAGCAGTAATACCGTGTGTTGTGTGTAGAGAGAGGGAGGTGTTATGGATGATGAAGAGTAAAAGTAGTTTAAAATCGAAGAATTTCATCCTATCCAGATGAACAGTAGAGAATGTACAAGAGGTGAGGTGAAATTGGGTTTAACGTCGCGTCCAAGATTATTGCACTTATATAGCGACGTGCATGTACGAGTATGTGTTTGTGTGGCTGCTTGTACTAGTCCGGACTGATGCCGATTTATAGTGCTAGCCCACTGAGATACCACGCCGCAGTTTAACATGAATACCCCACTCAGACACAGTATACTGACTCCGAGCCGACCAGTCCTTGTTTTAGCCCCTTAATGCCGAGTGCCAGACAGGGTAACAACAAGTACCATCTTTAAACGTCTTTTGGTATGACGCGGCCGGGGATCGAACCCCGGACCTTCCGCTCTCCGGGCGGACGCTCTACCATAGGACCACGGAGGCGGTAGAATGTACATGAGAAAATACGAAGGGATATACATTTGTCTTACAAAGTAAAGTCTGACGTGATCACATCGGATCCCGAGTAAGGACATGCCATTTGGTAACTATCGGTGTAAGGGCAGACTCCGGTCTTCAGTATCTCTTCACCGTGGTCGTTGTACACGTGCATCGTCACCTGGAAGCAGAAGAAGCTGTTACTAGGGAGGGTTCATTGTGTATTGGGCATTGGTCGGAAGGAGTTCAATACGACATACCGAAGGGAGAGTTCAGTGCGATGTTGCTTAAACGTGAATTAAGACGGAGATACATATCAGGCGTAGTTCACTGCGAACGTTGAATCAACGTGAATTTATGTATCAGGGAAATATACGACAGGGGATATTCTTTGCGCACGTTGAATAAGCGTGAATTAATGCAACGGAAAATTTATACGTCAGGGGAAATTCTTTGTTTTGGTTGAATCAGCGTGAATTGATGCAACAGAGAAATATACGTCAGGGGGAATTCATTGTGTACGTTGAATCGGCGTGAATTGATGCAACAGAGAAATATACGTCAGGGTAAATTCATTGCGTACGTTGAATCAGCGTGAATTGATATATCAGAGAAATACACGTCGGCGGATATTATTTGCGCACGTTGAATGAGCGTGAATTGATGCAACAGAGAAATATACGTCAGGGGAAATTCATTGTGTACATTGAATCAGCGTGAATTGGTGCAACAGAGAAATATACGTCAGGGGAAATTCATTGCGTACGTTGAATCAGCGTGAATTGATATATCAAAGAAATATATGACGGGGTAAATTAATTGCGTACGTTGAATCAGCGTGAATTGATGCAACAGAGAAATATACGTCAGGGGAAATTCATCGTGTACATTGAATCAGCGTGAATTGATGCAACAGAGAAATATACGACATGGGGAATTCATTGTGCACGTTCAATAAAAGTGATTATCTTTTCACCGTGCATGTAAGATGGGAAGTTGTAAAATTGGTAAAAATGGCTAAAGTCCTCTAAGCTGGAAGTGGGAGAGTTCCTCGGACGCCCGACGCCAACTTCCACGTGATCTGTTCTACCTGAACAGCTCTTAATGTACATTATCATCTAAACGAGACCGAATGTTCGATCGTCCAAAATTCCTTGTTTAATATTTGTTTAACGAGAGGAAAAAATGGATAACTGAGTCTAAAATTATCGACTCATGTATGTTAACGAACTTAATGGATTTTAGTGTTTTCCGTTGCGCATCACTTAATGGATTAGGAAAGAGTAAATATTTATTAGACGCATCTATGTTTACTCAGAGACAGCTTTATCCATGGGGGAGAATAAAGCTTTATAGATTCGAAGAGTGCCTTTCTATCCAGTTGAACTTTGTATAGGGTAAATTTGTTGGTCATGTTAAATATCATAGAGAGAATACTTAATAAGTTGGGTACATAATTACACTACATGTCTGCTACAGTCGGAACCAAATGTCATAGCCTTGAAAACAGGGACAAGGAGTGCTCAGTGATAACAACACTGTTGTCCTCTGTGATGCCGAAACCAATAACCAACGTATCAATAACAGTTTAATCAATGAAACATAAAGGAGAATATTGATTCTACCTGTTCTCGGTACATAATTGATTTCTCCCTTACACGTGTGAAGGTACATTTAAAAAAAAGTCACGTTTTGTAGCTTAGCGATACGAACGACGCAGTGTTACCTGCTAATTTGTCAGTGTGGTGGTGCACGGAACTGTATTTACTAATCTAATTCTAAATAATTCTTTTGTTCATTGATGCACAGATAGATTGTACTATCGTATATCAGATAAATGGTTCTAGTGGTAATTTCATACAGGGGTATGTATGTATATTTGAACACTTGTTTGTGTGATGGTAGACTTTAATCGATCACTGAATCATGCAGTACATTGTTTTTACATTTTCCTGGCGATTGTGTAACCACGTGGTCCAGCGTTTGCTCAAGACTCTGCTTTGAATCCCCATATTGACACAATGTGTGAATCCCATCACTAATGTCCACTACCGGACAATGGAAAATGCTTAAAGCGTCGTCAAACTATATTCACTCCTTTACGGATAATACATGGCTGTATGATGCGTTTACTAGTATATATCAATTTGTATATATATTCATCGAAATACAAAGATATGTTTATGTTAAGTAAAGTGGAGACTCCTTGACTATGGAGAACGTATTAGGAATGTTTAGAGACAACCAAAGACGGGTGTGAAGGGTGTGTATAGACCCGAATGTCTAGATGAGTCTCTAACTTTAGATCATATATTTATCGTCATGTTGACGATCGTTTCTTATTAATATACGTTATTTGCGTACATAAATTTGAACACAATAGAGAAACTTGATGTTGATCGTAAGCTTATAGGGGATATGGCTCGGTCAAATTAGCAGTCATGGCAATAAGTTGTATCATATTACATTCGTATATCACTAAAGCAGTAAATGTTTATGCATAGAATATTATCCCAATTTCATAAATTACACTAATTACAAAGTATTGGCCTAGGTTTGAATTGGACAACAGACAAAGCAGTCGTCATCTTTTATATCAGTGATGCATGAAGATGATGTGGAAATTTTAAAGCAAAGATTACCGTGACGTTTTCATAGTAGCTCAAGTTGAACATCCGTTCGCTGCGGAACGTGCCTTTCAGAGCCAAGTCCACAACATCAAGTGATTCGTCATCCGGGCAGTCGTTTACCCCTACCAGGCTGCTGATGTCAGTATCCCAGAGTTTGGCTGGATCATACATGCCCCCTGCTGGCACCAACATCAGGATCCCGCTCTCCGTCACACCTGGCGAACACATGGACATCAGTGGGTGGTCACACATTGTGATGGCCTTAACACCATCTAATAATAATAATAATAATAATAATAATAATAACAACAACAACAACAACAATAACAATAATAACAATAATAATAATAATAATAACCATCAATGTATGATTTTGCATCAAAATGAAAATATGAAATGCAGATTATGTAATGAATTTAATGAGACTGTCCAACACATTGTCAGTGGATGCCCAGCTTTGGCACAAACACAGTATCCTTTAACGACATGATGAGGTGGCTCGATCATTTTATTACCGTCTTCGCCATACTTGTGGTTTTGACGCAGAGGTCCACCCATGGCACGACCCGGAATATGTAGAGGGCGTCATGGAAAATGATAAATACAAAATTCTTTGGTATAAGCCTTATTTACAGCCTGAGGCGTATCCAGGCCAACAAACCTGATCTTGTCCTTTTTGATAAATCCAATGAAATCATTTATATTATTGAATTTTCTGTCCCTTTTGACACTAAAGTGAATAATAAGACGGTGATGGTGACGGTGATGGTGACGGTGATGGTGGCGGTGACGATGACGTAATGGTGATGTGACGGTGACGGTGATGTGACGGTGACGGGGACGGTGACGGTGATGTAATGGTGATGTGATGGTGATAGTGATGGTGATAATATCGAACTTCTGGGACGCCTTTACTGTTATTTTGATTTAGATGCCCATTCGCATGATCTCACCGTTGTTTCATCAGAAACGGCAGCAATGAACCAATGTTCTTCGAATTCACGTTTTAGCTCACTTGAATAGCCTTATGATCTGGCTTATGTCAACATTGTTGACAACTAGAATCAACTATGGCATCATGCACCTAATAACAAACAATGTCCATCATATAACGTTTCTACTGCAATCTTTTCTGTGCAAAACCATTAAAGATACGACGTTAAAAAAACCGAGAAAAAATGAGAAACGTGAGTAGAAACCTAGATAGCGGCAACCAATCGAGATATCTTGAATATACCTGTGTCACCTATGTGTTTATATGGCAATCATGTGTCATTCTTCCGTATGTGTCAACAATATGTCTGCATGTGTCACCCTAGAAGACTATAATCCTCCATCCTAATATGATTAATTCGAATTTGTTTGTTGTTTAACGCCACACTCAGCAAAATTCAAGCTATATGACGGAGGTCTGTAAATAATCGAGTCTGGATCAGACAATCCAGTGATTGACATCATGAGCATCGATCCATGCAATCGGAATACGATGACATGCATCAACCAAGTCAGCGAGCCTGACCACCCGTTCCCGTTAGTCGCCTCTCACAATAAGCATGGTCGCCGTTTACGCTAAGCATGGGTTGCTGAAGACCTATTCTACCCCGGATCTTCGCGGATTTCACTAAAGGGGTAAACGCGTGGAGAGGTACCACTTTGGGCAAAACTCCCACATTAAACTGACCCACCATTACATAACAAGGCACTGTTCAAAGTGGCGTTAAAGTGGCTCGACGTGTATGCACCAAACTAATGTGCGCACATCGTAACCACAACAGAAAATCCTAAAATATTTAGCTTTAACTTAGACTTTGGTACCCGTTTCTGTCAAATTATCCATTGCCGCCTCAGGTTAGGATGCATTGATTTAAGGCACAAAAACATAATAGCATTGTTACAACCCTCAATATAAAAATTACTCTTAATGTTATTTTTTTTTACATTAAGGATTACGTGTTTACTCTTAATGTAAAAAATAAATATATTAAGAGTAACAACCCGCACCCCTTAATGTAAAAGAGGTGAGGTGAGGTGAGGTGAAATGGGGTTTAACGTCGCGTCCAAGATTATTGCACTTATATAGCAACGTGCATGCACGTGTATGTGTGTTTGTGTGGCTGCTTGTACTAGTCCGGACTGATGCCGATTTATAGTGCTAGCACACTGAGATACCATGCCGCAGTTTAACATGAATACCCCACTCAGACACAGTATACTGACTCCGAGCCGACCAGTCCTTGTTTTCGCCCCTTAATGCCGAACGCCAGACATGGTAACAACAAGTACCATCTTTTAATATCTTTTGGTATGACGCGGCTGGGGATCGAACCCCGGACCTTCCGCTCTCCGGGCGGACGCTCTACCTTTAGATCACGGAGTCGGTTCATGTAAAAGAGTACCCAGCTGTTTTTATCATTGTACTTGGAATTGTTTGTTTGTTTGTTGTTTGTTGCACTCAACAGTATTTCAGCTTTATGACGGCGGTCTGTAAATAATCGAGTCTGGACCAGACAATCCAGTGGTCGACACCATGAGCATCGATCCACGCATTTGGGATATGATGACATGCATCAAGCATGTCAGCAAGTCTGACCACCCGATCCCGTTAGTTGCATTTTACGACAAGCATAGTCGCCCTTTATGGCAAGAATGGGTTGCTGAAGACCTATTCTACCCCGGCTCTTCACGGATCCATTGTACATGAACAGTAGAACCGATGTGACGCGGGTCTTTGTGGAGAACGATGTTATTCCCCATGTTGAAAGTAATAATTACTTAGTATATTTTTTTACACAATTTGAGATGGAAAGATATTCATGTGATAAATTACTAAATAACTTTGGAAAAACTCTTTTGGAAATGTCTTCATTTCTGAACATACATATTGTGAATGGAAGATTTGGAACTGACTATCAAATCGATGATTGTACATTTATTGGGCTTTTAGTGAGTGAGTAAGTGAGTGAGTTGGGTTTAACGCCGCTTTTAACAGTATTCGGTAACACCCACGAGCACGGGTATGGTGCTGACAAACCTAGCTACATAATCGGGGCGAACCGGGATTCGAACCCACAACCATAGGCTTTCTGGCGTGCCCAAGGGACGCAACTCTACACAGCGAATCGCGGCGCCTTAGACGACTGGGCCGACCGTGCCGCCTATTGGGCATTTAGGGTGTAGTGTGATAGATTATGGTTTAGCATCGAGTGACATGTTCCCCGATGATGATGAATGTCTCTATAAAAACATGAACGGTGCCATCATTTAAATGCGTTCAGAAGAAACTAAAGATAACTCATACCTTATTAAGAGTTTCAAAGTTTACAATGAATACAGATAACTGATGGACCAGTTTGCACAATGTAAAAGGAGTGACCTAGAAAATGCAGCAGCGGTAGACACTTAACGTTTCTGGGACTTCATAAAGCGTGTGTGTGGACGACCGCAACGACCCAATCCTATTGATATACAAGACTGGGGGGAGTATTTCTCGTCGCTGATTTCTGAACCAATGGGTATTCAGGATAATCTTGGTGAGGTGGACGACATAGTGACATGTCAAGGTTATGTGCAAGAACCGACAATTGACATATTAGAATCCCCCTTCATCAGATCCGAACTTTTTGAAAGCATCAGTGACAAGAAACATAAGAAATCAGCTGGCCTTGACGACATCTATTGAAACCATTGTACAAACATGGTTTGAGTGCTAAAATGGGTAAAATGTTATAATCCATGTACAGCAATGTAAAGGCTTTGTCCCTTTTTGTCTTCAGTTTTTTTTATAAACGAATTGGTTACTAAAATGGAACAAAAATTGTCGTTTTGGTGTTAGGTTACATCCGGAATTTATTTACATTTTCTACTTCTATTTGCGGAAGACCTTATTGTGTTTGGCAATACTGTCAACAACGTACAAATGAAGTTGAATATATTGCATGATGACTGTTGTAAATGGGAAAAGTCAGTCAATCTATCGAAAACAAAAATTGTTGTTTTTCAAAAATAGGGGAGGTTTATCACGTTATGAAAAACTGGTATAATGATGGAAAAGCGTATGAAGAAGTTACTGGACACAGTTACCTTGGCTTGTAGCAATAGTTTACCAACACATGCTGAATAAAGTGAAGACTAATTGTTCGTAATAGAATATATTCTTCCCTCAACTGTGCGCGTTTTCTCAGGAACAAGACAAAGTAGAGCCATGGAACCTGTGTAAGTGTACTGCACCTTTCATATTCCAACAACCTCTCAACAACGACAACCTGGTCGTTATTTACAGGTTTTCTTTATGGGTCATAACTGACGATTTTGATAAATCTTGGTACAAAGGTGTATCTAGGGACACTATACAATGACTTTATTTACGTTACTACCTTGCTTCCATGGAAACGGAAAGGGCGCTTGTAGAGCTGATTTATCCATAATCAGAGATTTCGTTCAAATTTGGTATTTGCAGACAATGTATTTCAGGGCTAGGCCGAATATGTTTTCTTACCATCACGGCAATATAACTGCGGCATCTGATTGATCGAAAGTTAGTTGTTCGATTTCGTTAAAAGGGACATTTAGATATATTTTTGCACACAAAGCACATTTTATTGCAATACCAAAGGAATGGAGTCATCTGATTGGTCGAAATTGAGATAGCTAACCCTATTTAAGATTAGTTTACCATACTAATAAGTGCTCTTTATGAAACAAGATGTGGATGATCAGCACAACATACAGTAATATAAACTCATTCAGAAATCCAAGATGGTCTCACAGTCGCCATATTGTAATTTACAGATCTCAAACATCTAAATGAGTAAATATCTATTTATAAAATCCTTTTGAAAAACCTCGTGAATATCATTTCATTAGATTTTTAGTTCATTGTACCCCCGCAACGAAGTTAGGGGGGTATAATGGAATCAGCGTGTCAGCCCGTCTGTCGGTCTGTCCGCAGAAAAGAACTTTCCGAATAATTCCTTCCAAACTAATTGACTGATTTCAATTAAACATTGTACACGTGGTCACTTCAACATGTTGTTGGAGACACCAATTTGATTTTTTTCATTTGGGCGGAGTTATTGCCTTTTATTACTTCGTCATTTCAATTTGTGTGGACAACTTCTAAACTACTGCATCGATTTCTTTCAGATATGTACGTAGGTGTAGCTACGGGCCCTGTACGACATCCCTTCATTAATTCCCCATAGGACTGTTCTAGTTA